TCTATATGGAAGGCAGGAGCCTAAGCACTTGAGCCACATTCTGCTGCCTTCCTAGGTGCATCAGAAATGGAGTAGCTGGGACTCGAACCAGCACTCTGATATGGGATATCAGCATCACAAGCAATGCTTAACATACTGCACCACAATGCCAGCCCCCTTAAATTTGAATTTCTGATAAACAACAAATAATTTTATTGCTTGAGATATACTTACACTTTTAAAATATTCATTATGTGACATAGAAATGTAACTGGGTATTCTGTGTTTTTATTTACTAAATAACAACTCAAGTGTGTCTATCCTTTCAAATACTGTTTATATATAATTACTCATATACTCTTACACATTTAAAATAGGATAATGCATGTAACACACTTAAAACAGTGTCTAGGGGCCGGCCCTATGGCGCAGCAGGATCAATTGCTGCCTATAGTACAGCACCCCATATGGGCACCAGTTCGAATCCCAGCTGCTCCACTTCCAATCCAGCTCCCTGCTAATGAGTCTGGGAAAGCACTGGAAGATGGCCCTAGTGCTTGGGCCCCTGCACCCAGGTGGGAGACTCAGAAGAAGCTCCTAGCTCCTAGCTTTGGCCTGGCTCATTCCTGGTCATTGTAGCCATTTAGGGAGTGAACCAGTGGATCTCTCTCCCTCCCTCCCTCCCTCCCTCTCCTTCTCTCTTTGTAACTCTTTCAAGCAAATAAATAAATCTTAAAAAACAAAAAACAGGGGCCAGCGCCATGGCGCAGTAGGTTAATCCTCTGCCTGCGGTGCTGGCATCCCATATGGGCACTGGTTCTAGTCCCGGCTGCTCCATTTCCAATCCAGCTCTCTGCTATGGCCTGGGAAAGCAGTAGAAGATGGCCCAAGTCCTTGGGCCCCTGCACCCGCATGGGAGACCAGGAAGAAGCACCTGGCTCCAGGCTTCGGACTGGCGCAGCTCCAGCCATTGCAGCCATCTGGGAAGTGAACCAACAGAAAGAAGACCTTTCTCTCTGTCTCTCCCTCTCCCTGTCTGTAACTCCACCTCTCAAATAAATAAATAAATAATCTTTAAAAAAAAAAAAAAAGGTGTCTAGCACACAGTGAGCATGCAATAAATTGTAATATTATAATCTTCCAACAATGTGGATGCAACTCAATTCCTACTGGCCTACTCCAGACAACAATAATCTCTCTTGCGTTTCTCATTTTAATACAGGATTTTAGTTACTGTGAATGTCATATGTCTTACCTAGCCTTAAGTTTCTACCTTATACAAAAATTTCTAATAAGAGATTTAAATAAGATATTTTAACCAAACTATTAACACTTACTCCAAAGTGCACCCTAGCTGACCTGAGACCCTAGGTTCTGACTGGCATGAGAGTTTGGATGGTGTTCTTTATGTAAACTTCACTTTAAAAAAGTGAGCTGGTATGGTATCTAAAAAGTAAGAAATTCACTTATCAACACCGCAAATTTCTACAGCGTTGAATTTGTCAGAGACCATATATATTGTACACTTTAAATGTTTTTTTTAAAGATTTTACTTATTTAAGAGAGAGATTTACAGACACTCAGAGGGAGAGACAGAGAGAGGTCTTTCATCCACTGGTTCACTGCCCTAATGGCTGCAATGGCCAGAGCTGAGCTGATCTGAAGCCAAGAGCCAGGAGCTTCTTCCAAGTCTCCCACGTAGATGCAGGGGCCCAAGGACTTGGGCCATCTTCTACTGCTTTCCCAGATCATAGCAGAGAGCTGGATCGGAAGAGGAGCAGCTGGAACTAGAACTGGTACCCATATGGGATGCCGGTGCTATAGGTAGAGGATTAACCACCGTGCCACAGTGCCAGCCCCCACTTACAATTTCATAAAGCTTTCTTTTTAAAAAAATATTTATGTATTTGAAAGGCAGAGAGAGGAAGACACACACAGAAATCTTCCATCTGCTGGTTCACTCCCAAATGCATGTAACATCCAGGAGCCAGGAACTCCATCTAGGTCTCCCATGTGGGTGGGGCATTAGCAGGAAACTGGATAGGAAGCATGGAGGTAGCCAAGAATCCAACCAGTACTCCTGAGACAGGGGATGCTGGTGTTGTAGGTGGTAGCTTCAACCACTGTGCCACAACACCAGTTCCTCCTTTCATATGCTTTGGCCTTCTCAGGCCAATCTATTCAGCTGTAAGGGAAAACAGCTTTTATGGTCATGAATAACTGGTTTCATATATGTCTATGAACTACAAGCATCTTTATTTTTTAAAGCACTTTTATAAATGGACTCCATAAAAATTAATTTGGTAATTCCTGTTTAATTATCTGGCTTACTTCCTCTTTCAAAAGTTACAGGTTCCCATATCCTACCATATTAGTACAGAACCACTCAATGGGCAAGAGTATTCATATGTGAGGCATATTATTCTACCTAATGATATTAGTCAAAGGAATAATACTGGAAGAAACCAAATAGCCCACCACATATTCATTTCCAAGTCAATAAAATACTTCCTCTTACTAAGTTTCATAATATAAACTACTGGACTCAGGAATCCATTACAGTAATACCAAGGGAATAAAAGCCATAGTTGAATGATGTTATCTGAACCTATCCAAAAATAATCTAGGTTATCTGGAGGAAAGGGCATTTTAACAGAGAAGCAAAAGACCAATAACATTATGATAAAAATACGGGATAAGGGAAAGACTTAAAGTGATTCACAAAAATTTTTAAAGTGATAAAACTGATACTGAGAAACTGTTGTTTTCATGCATTTCAATTTGTTAAGAAAAAAAAATCCAGGATAGACTACTCAGTGACTACTCAGGGCTGACTAAATATCAATGTGGTAAATTATATATGCCACTCTTAGTGATAAGACTCATTCATCTTACGCTAATCATTTGCTTTAAATTAACAGATATTCTTATTCTGATAATGTTTTAAACAGCTGGCTTTAGACTCATTTTCCCTAACATGCCACATAGTAAATATTTTAGGTTTTTCAGACTAAATACTGTCCTTGCCACATATTCTTGGTTCTTTTATTCTCACAATCTTAAAAATCCTTTAGAAATGTAAAATCCATTCTTAGCACACTCTTTGTATAGACAGGCTGCAGCCAGGTTTGCCCTTGGCCAGACTTGTCCCATTCCAACTTTACACCACTCGTACATACTACCTGTTTGTTACACTGTATCGATTACACTGATACTAGTATTTTCTTCCAACATTTACTCAAATGTCACCTTCTCAATGAGCCCTTCTCCAAACATGTTCCTACCCGTGCCCTGTAGAGAACACAGTCTACAGTACATAGCGGATCACCTAACATCCTTGTACTTCTCTAATCTCGGTGGCCCACCTCCTCTCCAGGTTGGGTTCCAGGCAGGCAGATGATCCTCAGGTGTTCTCACTGGTGTCTCACCTCCACAACAGTGCCAGGCAGGTGGGTAGGCCCTCTAACACTCTACCCTCACACTTAGGAAATACATACTGTGGAGGAAACAGATGCTCTTTGTGAAATAATTCAAGCAAAAAGATGTTCAAGGACAAAACTGACAGATTTTAAAATTCAAGTAGTCAAATATTTTAAATAAAGGGGAAAACCAGCTAAAAGTTAAACTGATTTTCTTACTTACTGTCCCACAGTGGTTGGTTCTCAGTCCCTTAAAGTTTACCATTACTTTAGCTAATCTAGTAACAAATTTCAATTATAATTGCTAAATCCCTCTACAGACTTGTTCTGTCTCCTTTGATCTCTCTTATACTAATATGTTCCTTGCCAGTCTGACCAGTCTGGCAACTTTACAAAGTTTGGCAAGACGGGGAGAAGTTACTTTGCCTCCCCATCTCCTAGTATTCCATTTTTATAAACTTTCCATTACTGTAATCTTTCTTATATTGTCTTTTCACTATTTAAATGAAGCAAGAAGTTAGATTCTTTTGAATGTTATGCTCTAAATACATTATTCAAATTTCACCTATAAGTAAGACTTGCCTTACTCTCTGATATATATTCAATAAAGTATTAAGAAAATAACTTTGTAACTTAGCAACCTCTATCACCATTCTGATAATGGCTACTCTAAGTTCATATTAAAGCTTAAAAAGTCAGTAATGAAGAAATATACTTTCTACTGCTGACAAATTATCATAAATCATATAGTAAAAATATGAGGGCTAAATCATTACTATGTATCCCATTAAGGCATTCTAAAAACCAACCACAAAAATTGTTGATAATGGAGGGAATGCTTACAAAACAACGGTCTAGGGCCCAGTGTTGTGGCATAGCAAGTTAAGTGGCCACAAACGGGAGTGCCAGTTCGAGTCCCCGGGCTCCATTTCTGATTCAGCTTCCTGCTACTGTGCCTGGGGAGGCAGCAGAAGGGGCTTGAGGCTCTGCCACCCATGTGGGAGACCCAGATGGAGTCCCTTGCTGCTGGCTTTGTCTGCTGCAGCCATTTGGGGAGTTACTCAGCAAATGGGAAGTCTCTGACACGCTGCCTTTCAAAAAAAAAAGTAAATCTCTAAAAAATCTTAAAATCACTTTTATCCAATAAACTGTTCCTCATCCATGATTTTACCTTCCATTCTTATCAGACAAGCAACTTTGACCTCTAAAAGAAACTTGTAAAATCCCAAAGACTCTTGTCAAAGGTTAAGAAAACTCCATAGGCCAATTCTTAACAGATAAAATTCTGCCCCCAAAATGCTAAGGTTGTAATTTGGGAAAGCTAAAGACTGCTATAGGACTCTACTTTTTATAAAATGGTTTTCAACTGTTTCTATGTCCTAAATCATAAAATCAGATAAAGCTTTATGGAATCAAAATTAGGCAAACTTCCTTAAATGGTGAAATTTACAAGAACCCAATCTATTTTTTATTGTTCTCATTAAAGTCAGGTGACACCCAAATTAAGTCACTTCTTACCATACAGACCTGCAGAGTAACAGGGCCCAACACACCGACATGTCCCACTTATCTAGTTGAAGCGAGTAACATAACGTGAGAAACTGCACTGTGTAATTCCTTTATTTTCTGCAATATTAGTGCTTTACCAACACTACAACCATAAAGAACACAATTCCAAGTACTGTACTTTTTAGTTTGGGGAGATCACAGACTCATTTACTTATATTAGACAAGATTAACCTCATTCAAAACTTACTGATTATAAATTCACATAAATACAGAAATTGATGCAATTAAACAAAAATGTCAGGATCTTATTTTTAAAATTCTTAGATTGTAACTTTTTCTGCAGGCTATAATTACCTGCTCCATAATCACCAATAGTTATGGTTCAATTTAACCACATCAATTATAAACCTTTTATATTCTTAAAGAAAATGTGAAAATTACAATTTTTTACCAAAAGGTCTAGGGTCTTCCAGATTTCAAATATTTGCTTCCCTCCCTCCCCCCATTCAGTTAGACATTTCAAATAAACTAAAAATAACATCTCACCTGCAACATTCCATAATAGCAATCACTTGATGTATAAAACTTTAACTATGCCCCCAGTTATTTTAAGACACAAAAAGATGGCTGCCTACCAAATCTGTCAAAAGTTAGAAATACTACATTTAAGAATTAACATGAGGGTTTCAAGTTTCCTCCAGTTTAGGCATTTATACCTTTGTGCTTGTTTTGTTTCAGGATGTTACTATAGCATTTATATCTGTATAGCCCATGTTTATGTACCTTAAATGTGATCATTTAAAACACTAAGAATTATATTTATGGTGGAGCTTTGGAGATTCTAAAAAGCAACCATAATGTTCTTAGGATGTGTTTGATCAGCTTCATTTTTAGAGATACTTTCACTAAAGTGAAACTGACTACTTTATACTTTAGTTGCATCTTGAACTCAAAAATCCCTTTGTACCAGCCGGAGCCTACAACATAGCACCTTTTCTCATCTGCTTGAAGAAAAATGCTTTGTCAAGAGTTTTACTTTGAATGGTTGATTTTTTTTTTAAAATAGCCTTATGATTCTCAGATATCTTTGGTAAAAGCTCCATTATACAATATGGCCAAAGCATGAAGGACCAATACTGTCCAACTATACCATGATATCCCGCTCAGTTTTGTTTTCAGACACCCTCATAAACGAAACCCACTCCACTTTTTCCTGTATACTGCCTTTGCAGTCTACATTTCTGAAATTCCCTAAGTTTAATTCCTTGAGGATCACTAAAATTAATCCTTAAGGCTATATAAGAACCAGATGGTGCTTCACAACTCTGTATCAAGCATTAACATTTGGTTCAAAATACTACCATAGTGGTCTCAATCTAGCTACTGGTCCTAACTTGCTACCCAAGTAATTCTGTTAGGATCTGGATATCACCAGTGAGCACACTGCTTACCCTTGAAGAAAAATAAGTTTACATTCATTGTCATCTGTAGGTTCTCTCTTCAGCCCACTTCCCCTTTGTCATCCCTTAAGTCTACACATCCAACATTCATTCATCACATTGCCTTTCTTAAAGGAGACAGTGTACTATTGAACCAACAGGTTGTCTTACTATTTGCACGAGTTAATCCCACAATCAAACAAAATTAAATATCTTTTTTATAAAACATCTTTTCCAGTGTTCTAATTAAAGGAGATGTGGATCACTCATCTATAAAAAATGATATATCTTCAGCTTAGTCAGTTGCAGTAATGTGAAAACAGGAATGTGTATTTTTCCATCTAGGTAAAAGGTGCATATAACTTGAATCATTAAATGCTTTATTAATGAACAAACTAATGTTTCAGTAACTTTAATACTACTGCTCTTAAGACACTTGAAACAATGTATAAGTATTCCAGTTTTGCCCAAAAGTCGCTTAAAATATCTACAGATATCTGTGTGTGGCACACACCATTATTGCTCCATTTTCTGGAAGGAGTCTATTTTTGATGTTAAAAAAAGGAAAAGTTGCTAACTTTGCAGTGAAAAAAAACCTCATGTCCTTGGCGGGTTATACTTTCATATTTTTTGCAGTGTTAAGTTTGCTATGTTATGACGACCCTGGGTTTTATTCCTACTCATGCATGATGTATGTCTTAGGAGTTAATAGCTGACATTTCAAATAAGTTCTTACATTACCTGTTTAACATACTGATGTGCAACTGGAACATATTACAATGATATTACTCATTATTTGCCACTGTGGGCTAAGTTTACTTATACTGGTCTTAGGTCACATTTGAAATTACTAAGTTAGAATTCATAAGGGGGGGAGCCTTAAATATAAAAGACAAACGGCAGTTTGATTAAGCAATAATTTTCAGTTTACTAGATGAAACAGACTTGCAACATAGTCTGCATGAATGCAAAATAAGCCATCTACAGCAAGTGATAAGGAAACTGGATAAAAAAAAAAAGGAAAAAAGCATACATTTGGGGGGGAAAAAGATTCTCTAGAAATAAAAAAATCAAACCATTATTATAAAGGACTTTACCAAGAACTGCTGTATTTCCCCCACCCCATTTGCTGGAAGTCAACAAGAGCACCTAGCACTTTGTGTTCATGTCAAACGTCAAATCAGAGCATCCTAACGCAAAGCGGAATAAAGAAAAGAAAAAAAAAAAAGCAAACAAAAAAAGAAAAACCCCAACCCCCCCTCCCTAAACCGTAGAACTGTAACTCCAGAGTTCAAATTCAAAAGAAGAGAAAGTGGCGATTGAAAGAGGTGATGGTGGCGATAATCCTATGAATGGGTTTTTGATTTCTCTCCTTCCGGGGGCTGGGTGGAGAATGCTCATTAGGACTTGTAGTTAGAGGTTAACCATGTGAGCCCCTCATAGAGTCCGTCCCCTGAGGTGGCACAGGAGGGCTGCACATACCAGTTCCTGTCCCGAATCCGGGTCAGGCCCAGTTTCTCCTGGATCTCATGGGGTTTCATGGCATCGGGCAGGTCCTGCTTGTTGGCGAAGATGAGGATTATGGCGTCCCTCATCTCCCGGTCATTGATAATGCGGTGCAGCTCCTGGCGGGCCTCGTCGATGCGGTCGCGGTCGGCGCAGTCCACCACGAAGATCAGACCCTGGGTCCCGGTGTAGTAGTGCCGCCAGAGCGGCCGGATCTTGTCCTGGCCTCCCACATCCCACACGTTGAACTTGACGTTTTTGTAAGTCACCGTCTCCACGTTGAAGCCCACGGTGGGGATGGTGGTCACCGACTGGCCCAGCTTCAACTTGTACAGGATTGTGGTCTTGCCGGCCGCGTCCAGGCCCAACATGAGGATCCGCATTTCCTTGTTCCCGAAGATTTTGGATAGCACCTTCCCCATCGCGACGGAAGAGCCGGGGCCGGGGGCATTCAGGTGTCCCGGTTCCCCCTCAAGCCAACAACGCCGCCGCCGCCGCCGCCGCGAAACCGAAACGAAGCCTCCCTGCCGCGAGGGCGCCCGTGCGGCCTGCGTGGGAGTCGCCTCCTACGGGGCGAGAGGCCCGGGCCTGCCGCTCACTCGGGCATCACCGACCCGCACAACTTGGTTCCTCCAGCCGCCGCCGCCGCCGGGGCCCTGAGTCTGCGCCCGGAGAGCCGCCGCCCTGCTGAGGCGCGGCCCGGCCCGGAACTGCCCTTCCCCCCCGCAGGCGCCGCGCGAGCGCCGCCGCCGTGCCCGTTCCTCCGCCCGCCCGACGGCCCGCCGACTACCGGGCTCGCCACCGACCCAGGCCACCCGTCAGGCAGCGCGGCGCCGGCGTCCCGTCAGGTCATGGATCCTCGCGGGAACTCAGCGCGCTGCCTGCGGAGACACAGAGAAGGAGAAGGGAGTTACCGCCGGAGCTCCGAACGGGAGCGGGCGCGGAGGCCGAGGCCGCCCGCCTTAACAGCTCGGCCCCCGGGTGTCGGTGGTGGTGATGGTGGTGGGGGTTACCTCCAGCCGCCGCCCCGAGCACGGGCTCGCTCCGGCCGCCGCCACCTCCTCCCAGCTCTGCCGCTGCCGCTGCCGCTGCCGGAAAAGGCGCCCAAGAAACCGCCTCACTTCCCCTCCCGACCACGCAGGCGCAGCGCAGGCCGACCGTTCGGACAAGAGCGACCTCTGGAAGGAGAGCGGCCCGCGCGCCCAGCGTCACGGGCGCCACGCGCCGGAGGGGGCGGGGCTACGGCGTCCCGGAGGGCTCGCGGGTGCCGCCCGCCCGAGCCCGCGCGCCTCGGGCTCTGGCCCGCGCCCACCTGTCGCTCTCGCCGCGTCTGCGCGCTCGGCGGCCCCTTCGTTCCGCGCCTCTGCCCGCCCCCGCAGTCCGGGGAGCAAATACTCCGGGGAGGTGGGGAAATGGAGCCTCCGCAAGGGCGGGGCCGCCGGACGAGCCGCCCCCACGGAGCCGCTTGCAGGCCCGGAAAGTTCGGCGGACTTCGCGCGCCCCGGGTCTCCCGGGGACGCCTTGGCCGCTTTTTAGCTTTTTCTCCGACCCCCTCCTTGGTATCGTTGCCTCTGGTGTTCAGGGTTTTCCTGGAAGACGCATGGGAGGCCGGCGCGCTCGTGTTGAACCCCGCCAGTCAGTGGCGCGCCGTGGCTGGGCTCGGGTTTGCTCGGAAGCCCCTCTCTCGAACACTGGAGCCCTGTCCGTGTTGCATCAGGACCAGCTCACGTTTCTCTTAAAGCTGGCGGCGAAGAGCTTTCTGGAACGCGATGAACTGTTCTTAGTCCAGTGTCACTTCCTTTTAGTATGGGAGCGGCAGCTGCTCACCCACCCACCCACCCGTGCTGCAGTCACCTTAGCGTAGGGTGTAGAACCTGAGAGGCCACTTAACCTCGTTCGCTGATCTCCTGTGTAAACTGACCTCGCTTACTCCGCCCCGCTTGGAGGATGAAATAATACCATGTTGGTGGAAGACCAAGGAAATCTTTGTATCGAAGGGTTACTCTAAAGTTGAAAGAAAGTGAAAGCTAAAGTAAATATCAAATAAGGGGAGGAAAAAAAAAACAGGAAATACGCTTGAGTTGTTTTTTTTTTTTTTTTTTTTATTTAAGAAAGATGCTATGACCGCGTATGCTAACATTTTTACTTCGCCAGTTGAAATCTGACAGCGGTTACTAAGGCGCTGGTTGGCACAGCTGAGCTGCATATCAGCTTGGTTGGGTTCGAGTCCCAGCACCTGATCCGGCTTCCTGCTAAGGCCCATTCCACTCCGGGAGGCAGCAGGTGATGGCTCAAGTTCCTGGCTCCCTGCCACCCACCTGGGAGACCTGGATTGAGTTCCAGGCTCCTGCTTCCACCTGGCTATTGAGAGCATTTGGAGAGTTTAAGCAGCACGTGGAAGATTTTGATCTGTGTCAGCTGTTCTGCCTTTCAAGCAAAAAATATTTTTTTTAATTTAAAAGAAAATTTGGTAATATCAGGCAGATTAAACAACCTTGTAAACTTCAGCTTGAAATAAAGATACTAATATAACAGTGATCTAATTTACTTTCCATCTGCCGTGAGATGCACTGTCAGAAAACTAAGACAGCTCTGTAGTCAGATTGGGATTCAAATCAGCCTTCCCTATAGCTGTGAATCTGTAACTCTCAATCTTTGTGAACATCTATTTCTTCATTTGTAAACTGAGATAAAAAATATCACTTGGGAAAATGTCACCGATTGTTTGTGTTTTTTAAGGCAAACATTGTCCTGAGTCCTGTAAAATATTTTGGTACGAGCAGCAACCACATGAAGTAGCTTTGAGTGTTAACATTTAACACATGAAGAAACTGGTGATCAGAGAGGTTAAGTAATTTTTTAAAGGTCACAGAGCTAGGATTAAATCATAAATCTTATCTAAAGATTTTGCCACTGGCCTTCTACCTCACACAGGTGTTTCAAATCTTATTTTAATAAAATGCTTCATAATTATGAAGTGGCTTTAGTAATTGTTATATTTGGGAAAAGACTTTTTTTATATGTGGCAAACACAAGTATGTATTATTTTTGTTCCATTGTAACATCGTTTTTTAAGAACAGATTCCTTTTGTCCAAGTACAGTTGATGGGATATTGGTCTGTTGGACTTGCAGTTACTTTTCAATGGAATGTGTGCTATGTTGAACCCAAACTCTTATAAGCGAAGAATCTGTGAAATGAAAGGGTCCCTGGAGCAATTACAGACTCTAGCCCCAAAAAGGACCAGGTTCTGAAACAAGTTTCTGCATAATACCAGCAGCAACACTAATTAATAGTTAGGAAAATGTCCACGGGACCTAGAGCTAAGAATGTTTTCATAAAAGGTGAGGAAGGAAAGTATTTACATTGAAACAACACTGGCGATAGATAAGAGAGGTAGAATAACTTGAAACAGAGGAAATTTTGAAATAGGAAGGTCCCTGAGGAGAAATGATTGTCAGGCCCGTGTTGTGGCAGGCTGGGTTAGGCCACTACTTGTAACACTGGCATCTCATATCAGAATGCCAGCTCCAGTCCTGGGCGCCACACTTCTGATCCCACTCCCTGCTAATGTACCTGGGCAGGCAGTAAAACATAGACTAAGTACGTGGGCACCTGCCACTCATGTTGGAGACCAGGATGGAGTCCAACACAGATAGGGCCCAGATATTTGGAGGGTGAACCTACAGAGGGAAGATATCCTGTCCCTCTCTAAGGCTCTGCCTTTCAAATAAATAAGATTATTGCTTTAAGTTTATACATAAACAGAGTACGGTGGCCCTGGGGGTTATTTAAGTCAAGGTATCAACCTACATGAACAGTCTTTGTTGGCTTGCCTCTAGCTGTTAATTGATTAACTTCCCTTGTATCTTGCCCCTTCATCCTGCAGCCCTTTGTAATTTAGAACATCCCAGAATTTTTCTTTTCTGAAATTAATTAAAAGTAGAAGCAGGATGAAACATTAGCATCTTCCTGGAACTGACACTGTCCTACGGCTAAAACGGTTTTTTTTTTTTTAAGATTTTATTTATTTATTTGAGAGGTAGAGTTACAGACAGTGAGAGGTAGAGACAGAGAGAGAGGTCTTCCTTCCATTGGTTCACTCCCCAAATGGCTGCAACGGCCAGAGCTGCGCTGTCCAAAGCCGGAGCCAGGAGCTTCTTCCTGGTCTCCCATGCGGGTGTAGGGGCCCAAGCACTTGGGCCATCTTCCACTGCTTTCCCAGGCCATAGCAGAGAGCTGGATCGGAAGAGGAGCAGCCAGGACTAGAACCAGCGCCCATATAGGATGCCAGCAATGCAGGCAGAGGATTAACTAACCTACTGTGCCACGGTGCCGGCCCCTAAAAGTTTTAAAAACCATTTCCAGGTGGGCGCTGTGGTGCCACAGGCTAAGCTACCGCTTGGAACACCGACAAACCACATCGGAGGATAAGTTTGGGTCCTATCAGCTCGGCTGCCAATCGGGCTTCCGGCTAATGCACCCTGGGAGACAGAGGATGATGACTCAAGCGCTAGGGCCCCTGCCATCCACATGACACCGCAGTGGAGTTCCAAGCTCCTAGTTCTAGCTCTCCAGCCCTGGCTCTTGTGCCCATTTGGGAAGTGAAAGAGTAAAGCAATGGCTAGAAATCTCTTTCAAGTAAATGTGAAAGAAACAAATATTTGGAAAATCATCGTCGGCAGCCAGCATTTGGTGTAGCAGCTAAAGACACCACTTAGGACTTCTGCACCCCATATTGGAATGCCTGCTTTAATTACTGTCTCCTCTGCTTCCTTCCAGTTTCTTGCTAATGTACGTCCTGGATAGCAGAAGATGATGGCTCAAGTACTCAGGATCCAGCCATCCACATGGCCGGATTGAATACTGGGCTCCTGGTTTCAGCCTGGCCCAGCTCTGGCCAGTGTGGGCATTTGGTGAGTGAACCAGCAGAGAGTAGATCTCTCTGTGTATCTGTCTGTCTTCATGGAAGGAGAGAATTTATTGTCAACACAGTGTTCTCAGTACTATAAGGCAACACACACATCAGGAGTTCAATCATGATTGGAATGAGTGAAAGCCTTTAATGCTACAGTTAATACAAACAACAAAGGGAAAGTACATTCTCTTCTTTTCTATCTGTGGGTTTAAAGGAATAGCTTGATCAATAAGCTTTTTCATACCGTGGCACATCTTAAGTATTGGATAACAGAGTGGTCGACACATAATAAGTTATCAAATGAATTGTTTCAATAATCATAACACAAAACAAATAATAATGGCCAAAAAAGTAAACACAAATAATGAAAAATAGAAAGTTTGTATGTGTGATCATGACAGGAAAAAAAATAAAAGGCAAATCGTTCTTGGAACTGAATGTGTCCCACATTGGAGTACCTGGATTAGATACCTGGCTCCAGCTCCCCACTGCAGGTTCCTGCCAGTGTAGATCTGGGGAGGCAGCAAGTGATGGCTCAAGTAATTGGGTTTCTGCCACCCATTTGGGAGCCCTGCGTTGAGTTCCCAACTTCTGTTTTCAGTCTGGCCCAGTCTAGCAGTTTGAGGCATTTGGGAAATTAACCAGTGGGTATGAACTCTCTCTTTCTCTGGGTGCCTCTCAAAAAAATAAAGGAGTTTGGGGATAAATGAATTTTAGTAAAACCAAAACATCTGCAAAAGGTAACAGTTTAGGCAAATACTAAGTCATACCACAGATGAAACATTTCATTTCCTTGATTCCTTTTTGAAACAACTTCAAAATAATAAACTTCAGTTTCAAAAATATTACTTCCATTCAGTAAAATATTTTGCAGATAAGCCAAATTTACACTTATGAAATAAAATACTTCATTTTTTAGTTTGTACTATTTCACTGCTTTAAGTTTTAAACAGTTGAAAGCTCCAAAAATTAACCGTAGAAACATTGATCTCTGCTTTTTAAGTCCGAGCCTATAAATGAAGAGATTTTTTTCCAATTCCTTACAAGCCAGGCTTCCCTGAGAACACCATTTCGTAATTTCTAATCTGTTCAACACAGAACATTCTTGACTTACATCCTATCTTGTAAGAAAAATATTTGTGAAAAATGGCTTGGACTTTCTGTTTTGAAATGAAACGAATGTTTCACAGTAACACCCAGACTATTTACTGCTATTTCTGAATTCCTGTGGCTCTTAAAAATGACTCATTCAGGGGCTGGTGCTGTGACAGCAGGTAAAGCCAAGGTCTGCAGTTCCGGCATCCCATATGGGTGGTGGTTTGAATCCCAGCTGCTCCACTTCCAATCCAGCTCTCTGCTATGGCCTGGGAAGGCAGTAGAAGTTGGCCCAAGTCCTTGAACCCCTGTACCCACATGGGAAACTGGGAGGGAGCTCCTGACTCCTGGCTTCAGATCAGCTCAACTCTGGCACTTGTGGCCATTTAGGGAGTAAACCAGCAGATGGAAGACACATCTCTCTCTCTCTCTCTCTCTCTCTCTCTCTGTCTCCCCCCACCCCGCCTCTCTGTAACTCTACCTTGCAAATTAAATCCCCATTAAAATTACTCATTTAATGTGGCCTTGTCATATATTTCTTTTTATTCCATCCAGTTCCAAGGACGATTCTTACCACACAGCAAAGGCGGTCCAACCACGTACATGTTTGATAATGTTTCGTCTCTCTTATCATTTTGAGTCCTTAGATTAGCCATACCCAGAATTGAACTCTAGCTTAAAGAAGACAGGCATCTGGGGACAGAACCAGCTAATAGAAGCTCTCCTTTTTTGTCTGTCTACCTCTCATATTAACTAAAAGATTTTTCAAAGTTGTATCCCAATCAAAGCCTTGATAACTACTTTGGTTATACCCGAATATGACGCCTTTATCTCATTTTTAGCAATATATTTTTGACAGGCAGAGTTAGACAGTGAGAGAGAGAGAGAGAGAGAGTTATAGACAGTGAGAGAGAGAGAGAGACAGAGGGAAAGGTCTTCCTTCCATTGGTTCATTCCCCTAATGGCTGATACGGCCAGCGCTGTGCTGGTCCAAAGCCAGGAGCCGGGTGCTTCCTCCTGGTCTCCCACATGGGTGCAGGGCTCAAGGACTTGGGCCATCCTCCACTGCCCTCCCAGGCCACAGCAGAGAGCTGGACTGGAAGAGGAGCAACTGGGACTAGTTCCCGGTGCCCCAACCAGGACTAGAACCCCGGGTGCCAGAGCCGCAGGTGGAGGATTAGCCAAGTGAGCCATGGCACCGGCCTCATTTTTAGCACTATTAAAGGTGGAATTGATAAAACCACAAGCCAAATCTTGAATGACTGTTGCTATTTTAGCAAGTTATTTAGTAGTTATAGCTTTAAACAACAAACACTGTGGCATCATTGTCAAGTGAGTCGCAGGAGTACCAAATATCAAATCACGTCTTCAAGTTACTCCCCAACTTTCCTTGGCTTTATCACAGTGTAACTTCGGTAAGGCACTTGTCCTCTGTGCGACTGCTAGAGAAGAATCTCTTGGGATGAGACCTACGATTGTTCACCTTTACAGTTGGAGAGGTACAGAGGGCGAACAACCTTCATAAGGTCAGTAAATGATACAGAGAGGATTCGGGTTAAGGTGTGTGTTTTTGTTTTTGTTTTTTGACAGGCAGAGTGGACAGTGAGAGAGAGAAAGGTCTTCCTTTGCCGTTGGTTCACCCTCCAATGGCCGGCACACCACGCTGATTCAATGGCAGGAGCCAGGTACTTATCCTGGTCTCCCATGAGGTGCAGGGCCCAAGGACTTGGGCCATCCTCCACTGCACTCCCTGGCCACAGCCAGAGAGCTGGCCTGGAAGAGGGGCAACCGAGACAGAATCCGGCGCCCCAACCGGGACTAGAACCTGGTGTGCCGGCGCCACAAGGCAGAGGATTAGCCTAGTGAGCTGCGGCGCCGGCTGGGTTAAGGTGTTTTAATCCAAGTCTTGTGTTCTTTTTTCCATCATACTAAATTATGTGTTCATCTGTAAACTCAGGAAGCTGAACTACGTCAATGGTTTTCAGGCCTGTCTGCACATTAGCATCACCTGGAGCGCTTTTAAGTGACTAACATGTTTGGGCCACACTCCAGAACAGGTAAGTCACAGAAGGTCTTTGTTTTCTTAAAAATTTTGAGATTTCTAATGTGCAGCTAAGATTGAATATCACTGAACTAATTACTAAATTCCTTTCATATTCAACTCTTTTTTTAAAGATTCATTTGTTTGAAAGGCAGTGTTACAGAGAGAAAGGGAGAAAGAGAGGAAGAGAACGTCCATCTGCTGGTTCACTCCCCAAATGGTTGCAAAGGTTGGAGTTGGGCAGACCCGAAGTCAGGAGTCTGGACCTTCTTCTCACGTGGGTGCAGGGGCCTAAGCACTGGGACCATCCTCCATTGCTTTTCCAGGCACATTAGCAGAGAGCTGGATGGGAAGTGGAGCAGCCAAGACTTGAACCAGCACCCATCTGGGATGCTAGCCTTGCAGACTGTGGCTTAACTTGCTACACCACAGCACCTGCCCCTCACAATCAGCATTCTGTGAGTTCTAAACTCTACTTATTTTGTTATCTCTCATCCCCAGGATAAATGCATATATATTTTTTGCATAGTGTGCTTCAGTAAAACTTTAACCATTGGCATAACCTACCGACACATTAGACCTGTCAAATAAAAGCATGAATATTCCTTAGCAAGAATATATTTTGAAAATATACTGTAATCATAGCTGAAGTTATTTAGTGACTAATAGAACCTCTATAAGACAGAATGCTGGGCAACCATAGGATGATCAAGCTCATATGCTTCTTTTTGTTGGGTTTTTCTTTTTTCAAGACTTATTTGAAAGGCAGAGTGATGGTGAGAGAGCAAGAGACAGAGGGATCTTCCATTAGCTGATTCACTCCCCAAATGGCCACAACAACCAGATATAGGCCAGTCTGAAGTCAGGAGCCCAGAACTCCTCAGGGTCTCCCAGATGAGTAGCAGTGGCCCAAATGCATGGACCACCATTCTCTGCCTTTCTATGCACATTAGCAGGAAGCTGGATGGGAAGAGGAGCAGCCAGGATTCAAACCAGTGCTCTGATAAGGGATGCTAACATTGCAGGCAGAAGCTTAACCTAATGGGTGGCAATGCTGGCCCCCAAATTCATAAGCTTCCAAACTGAAATCTGTCCACGGGTACTTACGTGTCTTGGCTACCCGCTGTGCCAACTCACCCCTGCTAGGGCTCAGCTTGTGACTGATCGGGTGGAAGGAGAGATGAGGTGGGCAACTAGATGTTCCTTTTCCTATCTCCCAGGAGTCAGGCTTTGAAATGTACTCAGCCAGTTAACAAGTCCACGTCAGGTTTGGCATTCTGAGATTCATAGTCCTAGAGTTGCTAGAACAAGTATGACAACTTGTGACTGTGCACAGTAGCGTGACAGCAGATAACCAGTGACAACAAATGCCACTGGCAGTAAGTGTCATCGTGAAAGTACCAGTTGCATGTGTCCAAAGCCAGCTGTTCCTGCGGCATAGTCCTCGCAGTGCCTTTTGCCTCCTGCCTGACCCTACAGCCTTCCTCACAGTTCTGAGCCTCCTGATCTACTTCTGATGAAATTACTTCCTGTTCAAGTTAACGAGTCAATTTTTATTGATTGTAATTGAGAACCCTGAACAGTACACAATTGAATTTGAAGTATGCAAAATAAAATCATCTAGCAACATTGTACAAATTGGACGCCTGAGTGCATTAATTTTCCCATCAGGCAGTCATTTGAAAATCAAGTCAGACAAGTAGGATTCTAGAATGATCATCATTTTCAATCTGTTAAAGTTATGATAGTTTAGGAATATATTTTTTGATATCACTCATTTGAATCACTGAAATTGTGGGAGTGAAAAGTATTATTTCATACCCTGGAAATACCCATAGCATCCCCTGTTAGGAAGAAGCCTATCACCTCCTAAATTTGACTTTCAGTATCAGAAGAGTATTTTTCAGTTAGGTCAAGATTATTACTTCTGCCTCAACTGACGAAGAATGTACACTTTTGATGCTCTGAGCTTTGTTTCTGAAGAACAGAGAGGCCACGTCATTCCGACTGCTTGGCTGACTACTCCCAACCTGGTAGTGAAATAGCAAAGCAGCAGTGCGCGTGGTGTTCGCGATGGTAGCAGTCAGTTGTGTCGTCCTATCCAGTGACCTACGTGCCACAGCCGAGAGGGTGCTGGGCCCCAGGGCAGCTCCTGGAGGGGCGGAGAAGACGTTTGAGGTCTAACATCCTTCTCCTGCCTTTCCCATGATTCTGCCTTAAGATTTCCTAATTTATTGGGTTTTTTTTTTTTTCCCTTCTGCTATGTATTTTTTCTGTATTTGCTTGTGTCCCCGGGGATGGCAACGATACTAACCAAAGAGAGTGAGGAGCACTCATGCGATGGCGCTGTATCACTTTTTGCCTCTCACATAGTATTTGACTTTATCTGCCTCATTTCCTGACTTCCTGGTTGGAGGTTCAGCTTCTCAAGGGAGTTCCTCTAACTGGCTGGATTGGTAGTGAAAAAGAAGAGGAAGAACTTTCCATGCCGCAGAACCCAGAGAAAAATAATTAGCTTACGGAACCTCAAGAAAAAGTTGGTAAGCCTGTAAATGTTCAGCTGTTTATAGTGTAGAAAGCAAGTAAATAAAATGGCTTCATACAATGCTGCTTCAAAGACAGAATAAATAAATGATTTTTTATAAAGGGTGGGAAAGCAAGAAATGAAAGAAGAGAAGAAAGGAAAGAAGAAAGAATCGTATTGAAAAGTAGAGCTTAGTGTTGTTGTCAACTAAATCTAATCGCAAACCCAGCTTGGAGCTGGAAAGGAAAAATTCCTTAGAAAATCATAACCAGGTATCATAATCATAACCAAATTTCCTGCTCCATACCCTGTATAATTTTTTTTTTGCTCTATGGGCAAACAGTATATATTACCAGGAACAAGCAAACACTTTTTGTTTTTCAGAACCTTTGACCCATCAGTATATAATTACAATTTCAAACACAATGGCCAAGATTTATGAGTGAGGAAATGGTTGTAAAATCCTAGGTAAATGTTACACTATAACCTATTTTTTTTAAAATATTTATTTATTTATTTATTTGAGAGGTAGAGACAGAGAGAAAGGCCTTCCATCCACTGGTTCACTCCCCAAATGGCTGCAATAGATGGAGCTAAACTTATCAGAAGCCAGGAGCCAGGAACTTCTTCTGGGTCTCCCACATGGGTTGCAGGGGTCTAAGCATTTGGGCCATCTTCTACTGCTTTCCCAGGCCATAGCAGAGAGCTGGATGGGGAGAGGAGCAGCCAGGACTAGAGCTGGCACCCATATGGGATGCTGGTGCCACAGGCGCCACTGTGCCGCAGCACTGGCCCCTCACTATAACCCATTTAACAGCAGATTAGCTGAGCACAATTTATGGGTTTATTTCCATTTTCACGTAAGAAAGATTTGTATTCTAATAGGCTTAGAAAGACACTGGATTATATATCCACAAATAATAGTCCAGTAACATAAACCTGCTGAGCTTAAAGACTAGCTGTAGAGGTAGTGCTGTATTTTCTTAAACCTGAGACTGTGGTGTGCGACCCTCGCTGGTGAATTAGGGGCAGCCATTCCTGTGCTCTCTCCATCATGGGACGGAGCTCAGCTACCCTGCATGCTGACTTTCCAAATTAACAGGATTAATGCTGGAAAAGGGAAGTCCCAGGGTCTTTGAAGCAGTTGTAAATGCTTTATTTCATTTCCAGATGTAAAAACGAGTCTTTCTGCCACTTAATCTAATTTTTTCAACATTATAGGAAAGATAAACCATGAGTTCAACCTGCTTGTGTGGTAGTAACCTTGACAATGAAAGAATACAGACCTGAACTTCTAACAGTTTTGATGTGGATAAATCTTCTAACAGCATGGCAAAGACGGTAGGAGCAGAGTAAGTTACCCAGTGTGTCTGACCCCCTAGCACTGTCTGGCAACTGCCGCTCCCATCCACAGGAATGCAGGAGCAGATTCCTGGCTGTCCTGGTTTTTTCCATGCGATCCTTCAACATACGCAAGGAGTCTTCAAAAAATTCATGGAAAAAGCATAGTGGGGAAACACTCCACATGGATCTCAAAAGTTTTGCAGCAAAATAAACTTATCCTTTAAATTCTATTTTCCATGCAGTTTTTGAAGTCCCCTCCAACATCTCTGGGCATACCAGCTGGACCACAAGCAGCCTCATCTTGCTGATTGGCTAACCAGATTCTTATTCCTGTGAATTTAGAATCTGATCTGAAGAAAGACTGCAGCAACCTGTCTCTCCTCCATGGATCTGCATCCTAACTAGGGACTCTGCCTTGTCACAGCCTGTCTGGCTTGGAGTCCAGGTGGCAATAGAAGTTAGTCTTTGGGGAGAAAGACGCATATGTGTAAAGAAGAGCAAGGGTGATTGTTCCAGATCCTTCCAGGGATCTGTCTGTGTACCGACCCTTCAGTTTATAAAGAGCACTACACATAAAGGTCTGTGTCCTGGCCTTTTGACCTATCCCTGAATTGCTTTGTAGCGTTCTTAGAACAATTTGATGTGCTCCTTCATGATGTAGCAACAGTGTCTTAACTGGGAAGGAAAGAGGGATATCACAGAATCACTGGAAGAGTTTTTCAGTCAGTATCATTTGCCCTAAACAGAAGGGCAATCACAAAAGTTAACACGATAAGTAGCCAGCATGGTGGTGCAGTGGTACAGTGGGTTAAGCCTGTGAAGCCAGCATCCCATATGGGCACTGGTTCAAGTCTCTGTTGCCCCGCTTCCAATCCAGATATCTTTAGCCAAAGGACTAGGAAAGGGACAACCTAGGAAGAAAGAAAACTCTTCAATCGCTTCTCGGCCTTTTGGCTAAGATCAAGTGTAGTGAAAACTCTTGGAGGGACCTGTGTGGTATTGCAGTGGGATGGCTGCAGCCCCTATCAGGGTGCCTGTGCATGTCCCTGCTGCTCTGCGTCCCATGCACCTTCCTGCTGGTGTGCCTGGGAAGGCAGTGGAAGATGGCCCAGCTGCTCCAACCCTGGCCGTTCGTGTGGGAGACCCAGATGGAACTCCTGGCTCCTGGCTTCAGCCTGGCCTAGACCTGGCTTTTGTAGCCATTTGGGAAGTGAGCCCTAGGATGGAAAATCTCTTCTCTCTCTCTCTCTCTCTCTCTTCCTTGTCTCTGTTGCCCTGCCTTTCAAATATATAAATAAATAAGAACTTTTAGAGCATAACCACTACACTCCAGTCAGACAGCCTCTACCAGAGGCCAGGCGGACAGCCCAGGCTTCCACACTTGCTAGGTTCTTAATGACGTGCCCCAACCACCTGTCCCTTCACCAAACGGAGCAGGGAACAATGACATCCATCCTCTCCAGATGGTAATGACACACACTCAGGCCCTTGGTGTTGGAGGAGCACACGGGGAGTCTCACTTGGCAGTGTGGCAGCACTCGTGTCCTCCCTCCTGGCTGGGGTGGTGTCAAAGAAGCTTAGTGGAGAGTTGGGGTGATCACAGGAAGCCAGCCTCTCTCCCGTGGTTACCCCCATCATGCTGAGATAATAAGAGACATACATTTGGTTTTTGTTTCTGGTTCATGGCACCAAGTTTCTCTTTCAGCCATTGGAAGGAACTTCCTAAAGTTCATAGAATATGTATATTATGAAAAACATGTACGTATATTTCAAATTTTTTTTACAAAAAATTAACATCTTTTAGTTCCATTTTTATATGAATTTTTTTAAGATTTACTTATTTATTTTAAAGGCAGAGTTACAGAGAGGCAGAGGCAGAGAGGGAGAGAGAGAGGTGTCTATGTATCCATTGGTTCACTCCTCAAATGGCCACAACAGCCAGAGCTGCGCCAACCCAAAGCCAGGAGCCAGGAGCTTCTTCCAGGTCTCCCACACGGGTGCAGGGGCCCAAGGACTTCAGCTGTCTTCTGCTGTTTTCCCAGGCCACAGCAGAGAGCTGGATCAGAAGTGGAGCTGCTGGGACTTGAACAGGCATCCATATGGGATCCTGGCACTGCAGGAGGTGGCTTTACCCACTACGCCACAGCACCCCCACCACGTACCCTCTTTCCTGAGTTTATGCCAATGAGACAACTCTTGGAGGATGGGGTTGGTTATCAAAGGATCAGTCCCCAGTGACTATAACATAACTAACCAAAGCTGCTTAAAGGAACCTCCACGAGAAACAACAAGGTTCAAAGAACTTGGGGCTTGATGAGCACACCGCGGCCTTGAAAGAGTGCTGCTCCCAGAAAGAATACAGAAGGTCCATGGACCCTGCATGCCTGTGTCCATTTGGGTATTAGGTATTCTTCATAATAAACCAGTGGAAGTAAATAAACTGCTGCCCTGAGTTCTGGGAGCCATTCCAGCAAATGATCAAACCCCAGGAAGGGGTCATGGGAACTGTGGATTTGAAACCAGTCGATCAGAACTATAGGTCAAAACCTGGGGTTGAGACTGGTGTCTGAAGTGAGGGGACAATCTTATGGGACCAAACCTTCACCCTTTGAGTCTACTGAACTCTGAGTGGTTACTGTCATAATCGAATTGTAGGGCACTCAGCTGGGGCCCAGAGAGTTGGAGAATTGGTCAGTGTGAGGGAAGCTGCCCACCCATTGGCGTCAGTGTCGTGCGAGTGTATTGGAAACATTGTTTTTGTCTTCCTTTTACTCTTTCACCTTCAGCACCACCCTCCATCACCGTATGGAATCTGTTGGCGTCAGTTAAATCCACAGAGGGGTGGCCTAGTGGGCCCCCAGCCACCCACCTAGGCTGTCGGCAGAGGCCGAGTGAGGAACCTGTACTGCTCTTTCCACCTGGCAGGAACAAGGTGGTGCTTTGCTTTTCCTGTCGGAGCAGTGTTGAGAAAGCCAGCTAAAATAAGAGGTTAAATACAATCCAGAGTCCTAAATACCAGAAATATCCAGGTCATCGTCAACAATCACTCATCGAGGCAAGATCTCAAACTGAGTGTAAAAAGGTAGTTCATAGATGGCAGCACCAGCATGGGCATTCGGCCCAGTGGTTAGGAAAGCCGCAGCCCGTGTCAGAGGACCTGGGATCAGGACCTGGCTCTGCTGTTGACCCCAGCTTCCTGCTGCTGTGACCTGGGAGGCAGTGGATTCCTGCCACCCACAAGGGAGTCCTAGAGTGAGTTCCTGGCTCTCGGCTTCAGCCTGGCCCAGTCTCTGCTGTTGCAAGCTTTTGTGGAATGGATTGGTGGGTGGGAGCTATCTTTGTCTCTCATTTTTTTAAATGTCTCTTTGCTTCTCAAATTTTTTAAATGTCAACACCAAAATGAAAAAAAATCTGACGAAGATTTTACAGCAGCCAGTGTAAAATGTTTTAATAAGCAATTATTAACACATTTAAGGGCATTGAAAAAAAATATGAATTCCTGGCCAAAAATAGAAAGTCTCAGCAGAGACACAGTAGATATAAAATAGAATCAAGTAGGAAATTTAGAAATAAAAAAAAAAAAACAAGGGTGGGCATTTGGTACAGTGGTTAAGACACTGCTTGGGATGCCCATATCTCGTATCAGAGCGGCTAGGTTCCAGTTCTGACTTTGTTCCTCTATCCAGCTTCCTGCTAATGCACACCAGGGAGGCAGCAAGTGGAATTCAGCAATGTTTTTCCTTTTGTGTCTCACTTATTTCACTTTGCATGTCTTCAGAGTTCATCCAATTTGTAGCATGCGTCAAAACTTCATTCCTTTTTTATGGCTGGATAATATTCCCAAACACCTTGTTTTGTTTTCCCATTAGTCTGTTGATGTACATTTGGGTTGTTTGTACCTTTTAATTGCAGTGTATAATGCTGCAATGTACATTATTTATCAAGTATTCATTTAGTCCCCGCTTTTGACTTGTTAGGGTCTGTATCTAAACTGGGTCATATAGTAATTGCATGTTTAACTTTTTGAGAAACTGATTAACTGTTTTACATAGCAGCTGCACCATTTGATGTAACTACCGCAAAGTAAGAGAATTCCAGTTTCTCTGCATCCTTGCCAACATCTGTTATTTTCTGTTTTGTTTTTGTTGTTGTTATAGTGATTTTAGCAGGTTTAACAGAGTGTCTTGTTGTGGTTTTGTTTGCATTTCCCTAATGACTAATGATGCGGAATTAGTTGGTTGAATGTACAAATGAAAAAAGGGACTTAGTTTTTTATTTTTAAAAACTTTTAAAGTTATTTTACGAGAGAGAGAGAGAGAGAGAGAGAGAGAGAGAGAGAGCTCCCATCTGTTGGTTCACTCCTCAAGAGATGGAGATGTCTGGGGCTGGGCTGAGGCTGACGCTGGAGATAGGAAGCCAGCCGCTCCAGCCAGCACCCTCTGCCTCCCAGGGAGAAGCTTGAAGCAGGAGCTGGCGTCAAGCATCAAATCTAGACATTCTGTGTCCCAACCAGTGACTTAACTGCCAGACCAAACACCTGCCCAAAGGGACTTACTATTTTAATAAATCTTATGACCAAAAGCGTATAAATCACTCTTCTTTTTTGCATTATACTAATGTATAAGAGCATTAATTACTTCTGAAACAGTAAATCATAGCTCAGCATTTGCCTTGATTACACACATGCCCTTTTGTAACAGACAATATACTCCAGATTGTGCCCTTGAACTTGAATGTTGTAACTGGTGTGTGGTGGTTTTGCTTCTCTGTGTTTCCTGCCACACCCCAGGCTGTGCTCCCCCTTGGGAAATGAGCTATGCCACAACATGAAGCAGAGCTTTGTCACCGTCCAGTGAGGGGTTTCACTTGAACAGCACACAGCAGCCTGTGCCTGCAGCACTCTGTACAGACAGAGACAGGGCTGGTTTCAGGGTACTCAGGCCCTACAAACAACCTCCGAGAAAAGTGTGAACCCCTGTTTCATACCACCTCATACACAGAAACCAGAATGTAACACCATCTCTTGTAAAATGATTAACACTGTGAATTGTGATCCAACAGATTTAAAAAGCATCCCTAGCAAGCACCCGTGATGCAATATAGTCAGCGGTCACATCTTAACGTCACGACAGAGTAACATGAAAACTTTGTTTAAAGTACTCAGGAAAGCTTAAAATTTCCCCTTCCCGAATAAAAGAAGTGAAAATGGGCTGTCATTGGATCTCACCAGGCCAGCTGCAGCCTCAACCTTCTTTCACGCATTTGTGATGAGAGGAGGAGGTCAAGGGGAAGAAACCATTCCCCTCACCACCTCCACATAGGAAAAGCCCTAGGATTTTTATCTGAGTCGTTGGCCAGGGCCATAGGTCACGCAAGATGAGACACTTATCCAGTCATTCCTCTGCTCAGAAATTGTGACTTATCTTGGATTCAGTGTACACGTGGGTCCAGCATTGTGATGATACGGGCATCCCGTATCGCAGTGCTGATGAGTCCTGGTGCTCAGTTTCCTGCTTATGCATCTGGGAAGGCAGCAGAGGTTGGCACAGTGCTTGAACCCTCCCTGTCATGTGGGGGACCAGGATGAGTTTCTGCTCCTGGCTTTGGCCAGGCCCAGACACAGTTATTATAGCCACTTGGGGAGTGAGCCAAGGAATGAAAGATCTCTATCTCCCCTCCGTTACTCAAACTTTCAAAAGATAAATCTTTTTTTTGAAAAAGATAAATGGGCACAAACCTATAAACAGTTATACTGCTTGTATCATGAAATTGTTTACTTGTTTATAATTTTATTCTCAGAATTATTATTTATCCCCAATACTGATAGGTGACACTTTGGGGCACTTAGGACATAGCAGGTGTTCAATATTTATTTGTTGGGTGAGTAAACAAATAATTTCAAGAAAGAAAGCTGCCTTGATCCTCTCTCACCTTAGTGAAAGCTGTATGCAAGTTAAAGGATGTTTTCCCACCAATATCTAGGCTGTTAAAAATATATTATTAGCTGTGGCAAATAATTAACCTTCAGAATAGAAAACCAGGCAAAGCAAATTAGTTTTTCAATTATTCTGACTAATGTGACCAATCCACAAACAAAGGGAGCGCCCTTCAGTGTTAGCTGATGAAGCACCCTGGGTGTGCTTTCAGCTTAGTGAAGAGGTGACGAGGCTGGCACCACACAGCAGAGGGCCTGCGTTTGACGCTTGCTTCCTGCTAACGTTCA